TAACTTATAAACATCATCTTTTAGCATGTATAGTATATGAATAAAGGGAAGTGTCACTCTCTTAGGGATGATGTCAAAAGAAAGGGCAATGGAATGGTGGATGAATGAGATTTCAAATGTGAGTATGTGTGGACAACAGTGCTCCCCAAGCGCAAGGAGACTTTCGCGGATCGTGTTTTACTTAGTGGTATTCCAAGGTCGTTTCCACGGGGAAGGAAGTAAACGGAGGGGAAGGTGATTTTGGGAGAAAGAAAGTGTAAAATCTTTGATTGTTGGAAGTTGTTTGGTGAAGTTGTTTTGATGCTAGTAAAATGAGAAACAAATGTTGACAAATCCAAGAGGTCACTCCAATAGGAATATCGTCTCAACTCGAAACCCTCATCCAATAGAGCATGAATGAACGATTGATTTGTGGGAAGGTAGGGGTAAGATTGGTGAGTATCTAAGCATAAACCGTGACTAGGCCTACGGAATATCAAAGACTCACCAAGTTATCCACCCTCAACCTAGTCAAACCGAACCATTGAACTCTGAAAGAGGGGAGGAGAATGAGTTGAAATGGTATACCCAAGTGGAGGTTCCTCTTGATTTTGCCAACTAAGAGATTTTGCTATTCATGTTTAAAATAAAGACAACAATATGATGAGAAGACATTATGAAAAAATAAAGACTAAAGTTAAACATAAACGAATTGCATAAATTTAACTTCCGGATAACCACCTCTTACTAAAGATTGGATGAGAAACTACTCACTTTTCATGACTTTGTTAATACTAGAAAAGTGAGTGATGTTCATCCCTCCAAGTAGAGGAGTTACAAGGTAACACATTTTACACAAGGAGCCGATCTTCAACAAAGAATGAGTGAATCACGTTCCACCCTTCACGGCTTTGGTAAAGCTCTAGAAAAGTGGAAGAGTTTCACTCCTCTAAGGGAAGAATGAAGCTCAAGCAATGGAAGTAAAAGAAAACAATAACACAATAAAAGAAAGCAATAAATTAAAAGGAAGCAAGAATACAATAAAAGAAAACAATACTTAAAGAAAGCTATAAGCAATAAGGAAAGTAATAATACTTTTGGACGGTTTTTCACTACCAAAAGATGAATGTTTTACAAATTCTAAGGGGTGGTATTTATAGACAACAAGGGAGGGTGAAAGTTTTATTAGGTGGCCTTGAATTTTATTAGGTAGACTTGAAAAGTTTTGTTAGGTGGCCTTGAATCTTGTTAGGTGGACTTGAAGAGTCTTGTTAGGTGGCTTTGAATCTTGTTTGGTGGACTTTAAAATCTTGTTAGGTGGCCTTGAATTCTTTGATCCCCCTTTGTTTTGAGCTGTGATAATTGGCACCCCAGTAGTTTGTAGCTTTGATGCACAAAATCCTGAAAAGAACAACAATTAATGCATTATCCTTTATTCACACACTAATTCTAATTTGATTTATTTTGACTAGTTTAACTTTATTCAACTAACACAATTTACCTATTAATTTATGCCTTAATTAGGGTTAATCAGACATCCACCTTCAAGGATTCTGAGTTGAACCCTTGGACATAAGACCGTAGGTTCTCATCCGATCCCTGTTTCACATTTAACAAATGGTAGCTCGGTTTCCTATAGGTCCAAGCTCCAATGAAATGGGACACAAACGAGATTGACAACTCTTTAAAAGAGGAAATCGAGGTTGGGGGAAGTCTATTGAACCATGCTAAGGCTGAGCCCTTCAGGATGATAGCAAAGACCCTATATCTCACTGGATCTTGATATCCATACAACTCCATTTGGTTTTTGTAGGTGTTGAGGTGGTCCATGGGATCTTTTGTCCCATCGAAAGCATCCACCTACGACGTTCTAAATTTATGTGGGAGAAGGAAATGCAGCACCCCAGCAGTGAATGAGGATTCGGTTTGCTACACCAAGACATCCATAGTGACTGGGGCCTTGCTCTTCACTGCCTCCTTCATCTGGCTGAGCTCTTGTTGGATGTTTTTGAAACGTTGCTCTCAGTTGTGTTCTCTTCTCTCCTGTTGATAAGGGAAGAAGTCGCTCCTCTCCCCTTCCTTATACTGACTTTGTACTTCCTCGTTGTGACCATTCCTAGGGGGTAGGCGAGGTTCTTGTCCCAAGGTCTGGCTATTCTCTCCCACCTCATTAACTTCTCTGAGGGGGTCGAGATGCGGTTGCTCTCTTGGTGGTGGGTTATTCTGGCCTCCTTGGGCCGGTCGTGCCTCCGGTGGACGTTGTAGGAGCTTTAAGAGCTCTTCGTTCTGTTTTATCAAACGTTTATTAACAAGACGAAGGGTCTCCATCTCATTATTCATGGGAGGGCCCCCTATGGGGGGATCTACTTCTTGAGCATTTTCGGATCGTCTGTTATTTGCGGCTTCTTGTTGATCTTGCATCTGTAGAGGATTGGTCTGGCTTCGGCTCATGTTTCGCGTTGATACCATTAGTCACTGAAAATTCAGCTTTATTCGTAACAGGAACAGTTGTTCCCACAGACAACGCCAAACTGATGGCGTATTTCAACGTGATGCAATTTTGTGATGACGAGTAAATGAAAGAAACAATATTGGAACTATTGGGATCTGAGCTACTAGACTCGAGTGAATGATACTAAGAATTGTTGGGGAGTTGGGGAATTAACACAGTAGAAATATAGTGGTTCACCGACTAGGGAGCTTGGCTAATCCACTCTTCAATGGAAGGTCTGGCTCCTTTCTCTTTATTGATCATACCAAAGGTTTATAGAATAGGTTTTTTGGTCATTCGGTCCCCCCTTTCTGATGGGGGCGTTACCTGGTATTTATAAGGCCATTCCCTGCTAAGTGGGATCCTGGCCGAGATTCTTGCCCTTACTTCATGGGATTCTCCCTAATTTTAAGAGAAGATCTTGGTTGGTTGAGATTAGGTGCCTTGATTATTGCTTCCTAACGCTTTTAGGAACCTGTCGTGATCTTCCAGCTGTTGCCTTGGTTGTTATTATCCTTGCTTATATCGAAGGGACCTCCAGCTCTACTCTTCCTAGTTCTGTCCGTCTAGTCTGACCTCCTGGGCTGAGCTGACCTCCTGAGCTGGCGTTTGAGATTTATTTTGAAGTATCATCACTCTCAAAATCTAAAGACGTGAGTGTGTCTCCAATGATGCCCAGCTCCCTAATCTCAGCCCAACTCCCTAATCTCACTCCACTCTGATAGCCCTGACATTATCAGCAATTCATTGTCGTGTCTTCTTCCCACTAAAATGACATCAAAGTCTTTATTCATGGATTGAATCACTCAGATTGTTCCATATCCTTCTGCCAGACATTCCTCCTTATACACGATACAATTGTTGCCCATTGTGTTGACTTTGAAGTTGTTGACAACATTCAAATCAAGTTTTCTCTCTTCTAAATCGCAAGTATCGTGATTCATGGCAATAATTCGGATGATACTAAGCCTAATGCTAGGGTGCTCAGCCATTCTGGCTCCATACACAAGGGCCTCACGATCATTGGGTCCTCCTATGAAGATTAATGTAAACCATGACCTATGTGTGGCTTTATGCTCCATTTGGTAGGGAGGATGACAAGTAGGAAAGATGAAAAGTAGAAAGTAGGAAAGATGGAAAGTAGGAAGGATACATTTTCTATCCTTCAAAGATGGAAAGTAGGAAAAATACACTTTCCTTCCTTTGTGTTTGGTTGGATGGATGAAAAATAAAAATGACTATTTTTTTTTTTGCTAGCTAAAATTAGGAGTGACAATCGAGTCGTGTCGCGTCAAATTTGTGTTGAGTCATTACGGGTTTGTGTCAAATATTAGTCAAACTTAACTTAACGCATTTAACTAATTGTGTCGTGTCGAGTGGCGAGTTAACCTGCTTATTTTCGTATTGAGTTCGAGTCGTGTTATCGTGTTGAGTCGAAAATTTCCACCCTTAGTTAAGATAAAAAAAATATATTTTTTTAATTTAAATTTTTTAATTTTTAATTTTTTTTATTTTATTTTTAAATTTAAATTTATCGAATGGCCATCTGACTTTTTAAATGGGATGATCACTAGGGATATACACTTCTCAAGTGCCAGTGTACATATATCGTCGTGGATTGTATCATGAGGCACGATGGACGTGAAGCACTGCAATGTGACCTGGCCATGGTTATGGACTTCATACTGACGAAAGGCTCTTAGTGGACTTGTTGGAAGGGATTCTATTCATCCGGGGAGTTATGAGTAAAGGCATGGCTCGCCCAACAAGCTCCACCAAGTCCAAAACATGTACCCCAATGGGAGGCTTCCGGGATGTTGATCGTGGTAGGGACATTGTAATCTTCATGAATACATGCAAGAACTCGGAGTTCAGCATTGCCTCTAGTGTCTTGAATTGTGCGTCTCTTGTATGATATGTATGTTCTTGAAGGATTATAGAGATATTTACTAAGGGTGTAATAGCAGCAGCATGCAAAATTGTCATTGATGGTACCTAAAAGAAATTTCAAGTTTAAGCCTAGGAGTAGAGGTCAAGAAAGGAGCTCAGCCAAGAGATCATGCACTCGGCAGATCAGGTCGGGAACCCCCTTGACCTGCACCCAGAAGAAAACACATAGAAAACAGTTGGAAACCACAACGTGCCCCCTCAACAGTTGGAAGCGCCTGTCTAGGCGAAAGATCCTTAACCGCCACAACCATTGCCTAGAATCAAGCAAGACATTGTAAGGAAAAGGCGAAAATCTCGCTGTAAATCCCTTTGAATCAGGGACTAGACTATAAATATTGAAAAAAGACCTCAATGAACTGCACAATGTTTAAAAAACATACGTAAAATCGGGTGACCTAGAAATCAAATTTTGTACTAAGAAGGGTGCTAATTTGAAGAATGTAGATCATGATCACACTACTATTGATTAAACAACACCTCGTATTGTAGAGCTTCGCTGAAGAATTCAATGTCTAAGAGCCCTTGACAACACAAGAGAAGGTTGAGCAAAAAAGCATCCATGAGAGGCATTTCAATTAAAGTGAATGGATCATACCCCCAATGATTTTTCCTAAGCAAGCAAGGATGATAAGAAGCTCCACGATCGCGAAAGTACTCAGCCTAATGAGGTAGACATCAACCTTCTGACCCACATTTGCCATAAATTAGGGCAAGAGCACTGCTGAAATAAAAGATTCAAGCTTGTCTACGAGCCTTAGGCCAATGGTGGTCCTCCAGGCACAGCTAAGCCAAAGACAATAGAGGAAAACGTTGGATGAATCTCGGTTACTTCACTATAAATAGAAATTCCAAGAATCATGACTGCGATTGCACAAACATATGATTCCTTCAAGGTTTTATCTTCTGGGGTTTGTCTGATCATCCAGAACATCATAGGACGGATCGCAAAAATGATAACTAGTATCAAGAGTACTCTGCACAATGAAGTTGCTATTATTACATGTGTAACACCTTCTTGTGCGTCACTTAGGTTTCTCAACATTAAATCGTATATCCAGGTGCACGGGCTACTGATCATTGCAGAAGGGAGAATAACGAGCCCGATTTGTGAATTAACAAGCTTGAGATCTCTGAGAATGCTGGAGGAAGCATCGTAGTTGATCATGGATGCAAGCGTTCCCAGCAAGACTACCGAATCTTGAAGCTTGTTGTCCATTTTAGTGCTTCTCTTTAGTAACTTAGCCATAATTCCATTGATCAACAAGGGGAACAAGAAAGATCCGAGGCCGATGGCAAGTGCTAGTTCGCCTCTTCTTCTAACCATGGTCAGATCTATCCGCAGCACGATTAAAAAGGTATAGATGATGATGCCAATCATTTCATAGACATCGAGCACCATTAGACCTTTTAATGAGAACATTGCTTCGGAGAATGTTTCGTTGCGTCCAAGAACTGAAGGACCTAGGATAATCCCACCCTGATTAACATAAAATTTGATAACCAGAATGAATTACTATTTTAGCATTGCAAGCACTTAATATGGGCATAAAATGCAAAGAACTAGGCTTGAGCTTACGAGGAAATCGGAGACGTATTTAGGCTGCCCAAGTGGTGTGAGGAAGAAATGCAGAGTTCGGGAGAAGAAAGTGACTAAACTAAGCTGCAACAATATAAGTGGCAAAGTGAAATGTGTTGGATTTTCACCCCTAAAAATACCAGAGGAACTCACATGGACACAATGCCTCGCAGAATTCAGGTCCCTGTAGATGTTTGTCGAATGAAACATTTCCAGTAGATACTGACCCGACGGCTCTGGCCATCTTTTGTTATGCCGAACGATGGTGTCGTGTTGCCGGAGAAGGTGAAGGAAAAGAAGGAACGGAAGTGATGAGAAAACTCTAGACGGAGTTGTTGACACTCTGGTTCTTCGGATAATAATGTACAAATTTTCAGTTGAATGTTGAGCTTTTCATCATTGACCATTATTATGTGGCTTGAATGATTACACCATCTAACATCCCATGCAAAAACCAAGTCGAGGTTAGGGGTGGGTTACCGGACCGGGTTTTATGTGCAGACCCAACCTATCAAATTGAATCCAGTGTAATTTTTAGCAAAAAAACCTCAGCTAATTTGTATTGATTTGGCCTAACAGATCACTAAGAATCAACCCACTGGCCAACGTTTGAGTCGATCTTCAAACCTCTTTTTATTTTTTATTTTTTTCTATGCTAACAAAACATCACATTCCACAACGTCATTTGATTTCATGCTAATACTTCCCTCTTATTAGAACACGATGTACACATCGCCATTTGTGTCCAATTTTCAAGTGGATATTGAACTAGTCTCGTTCAAAAGAGTTTCAGAATGAAGCATTTTTTGATTGTTCTCAGAATGTGAGTTTGCTCAACATGCTAATCCCACTTTTTTTTTTCTTTTTTTGTGTGGACCTTGACGCAACAATAAAATTGCTTCAGGTTCGAGTCGCGAAAACAACCTCTTTGTTTTGCTTGCAAAGATAAGACTGCGTACATGTAACTCTCCTCAAACCTCACAATGACAGTAATCTTGTGTACTAGATACGCATGTGTTGGTGGGAGGGGTAGCAATCAACCTCCACCCAACTCATGTTGCTGTGAGCTAGTGCTACGCTACTTTAATTCACTTACAAGCATAATACTATTCATTGCCGCTCTGGTGGTGTTGTGGCTTCAAACACCATGGCAGCAGCAATGCCAAGACACTTGAAGGAGAAGTTACAGTGATTCCCCTGTTTCTCTAAAAGGCAATAAAATGGGTTAACAAGGGAGCAGGCCGTCCCCAAGGAAAGAACAGTGCATTTACAAATGAAGATTCAATGCTCTGACCAAAAGGGGTGTTCGTTTTTTACATTAATAAAAACTTGAATGTAGATATCAACCTTAAAAAAAACTTGTTCACTTTTTCTACACCTAATAATGCAATGAAACTATGATCTGTAGTCTACAAATCCAATAATAGGTAGACAAAGAGTAAAAAAAAACACAAATAAAGGGGAACAAAGTGCGAAAGACAATTGAGAGGAGACAGTAAACTTTTAAGTAACCGATTTTTGATTCAAAGGTGCAACCTCTAATATAAAAGAAATTGGAATACAGAGAGAAGAAACATCACTTCATCTGTGGCTGATTGAACAAAGAGGAAAACTGGTCTAAAATCAACATAACACTACAGGAAGATGTGTTGGCTTTGTTACCAATCACCACCATTGATGAACCAGAACTCCACTTGCCCTAAGAGAAGTAAATAGCTCTACGCATTGGCCATAAGTCTTCTGATACTTGGAAGTCCTCTCACCTGGGCAGCATTTCTGCCACCTATTGTAGTGGCATTCAAGAAAGATCTCATCAATCAAACAAATTGCTCCCGTCTCAAACAACCTTGGAATCAAATCAAATTCAGTCCCTTCCACATCCATCTTCATCACCACAAAATCTCTCGGCGATATCACACTCTTCAACCAATTTGCAAAATCAAACCCCTTAATCTTATCCACATCGCCAACAGAACTACTCTCCAACTGAGCTGGTTGTATCCGACCCATTCCTCTACCTTTCTCCACTTCTTTATGACCTGGGTCTTGATTAATTTCAAAGAACAAAGTCTCATTTCTTACCCAGGCTGCATAAGGCAACAATGTGACCCCTTTCTTGTACTTGTACTCCTCATGAAATGTCTTATCAGCCTCAATAGCATATATTTCAAATGTTTTATTCTGCTTCGGATACTGTTTCTTGAACCAACTCACAATACTCGATCCATAGCTCCTTGCTCCAACATCAAAATACACATACCTCTGCTTAAAACTAATATCAACCATCGACGATAAGTACTTAATATTTTTTAAATTCTTCTTCAATGTAATCCATGGTTTTGAGGGTTCCTCTATAATCACCGGCTCAGCTTTCCGGATCAATTCTTGTTTATGCCCTGAAACAGAGCACTCGTTCACTGAATCGCCACCGGGATTTTTCGTCCCATGGCCAAGAATTCCAATCTCACCCCCTTTATTCATAACAATTTCACGAATATATGGCATAGATGAATCAAACCCATCAATATCTCTAGACCTCATCAATGTACAACAATTGAACAAATCAATAAACGAATTGAAACTATAAGTATCTTTGGCCGCCGTGTGAACCACCAAAAACCCTTCGGGCTTAAGGGTTCGGCAAATCTCGGCCGCAAATTCGGCCGGTTTGGAGGATTTATCGAGCATTCCGGCCCCGGAAAATACGAAATCGAAAGTATTATGTTTGAAAGGTTGTTTAGTCGCCTGACCTGAAATTACTAATGGCTTTGATGCTTTCTTAAAAATTCCAATGGAGTCCGAAACTCCGATTTCTTTTAGAGCAAAAACTTCTGGACCCGTTTGGGTTTCAACGCAAAGAGACTTCGAATTAGGCGATAAATAGCCCTCGGAGATCAGATCCTGAAAAATAGATGAGTAGAAACGTACAGCGTTTTGAAAACCTTTGGTGGCCCAAAGATCGGGAGTTTTGGGTTTGGGCGGGACAGCGTCGTTTACGATGATGGCTGAGGAAGAGGTGCTCAACTGCCCGATAACGGTGACCATGTTGAGGTTTTCGGGGAGAGAGAAGAAACAGAAGTCGCCGACGTCGCAGGACTCGCCTCTGATTGTGACAATGTAAGCGAATCGAATGCCGACGATGAGTACACAGAAAAAGAAGAATCTTACCAGAATGTTTCGAAGGACGCTTGGTTTCACCGCTATGGACTCCATGATACACTTTGTCACTGTCTTGTGTATGTCTATTATCTGTGTTTGAATGTATGAATGAGTGTATGTATCTTTTGAAAAGAGGAAAAGGGTAATAAAACTCGAGGGATTATCGGGAACAGAAGCGAGCAGAGGTGTGGTTAGCGCCGATGAGGGAACGGTGGGAGTGAGGGTCAGAGAATTGGAAATAGAGAGGAAAACGAGGGGTAGAACAAGAAGACATAGTGGGTTTGCTCATGCAGTGTGGTGATGATTTGTAGGCCGAAACTCTCTCGTGGGCAGTTCTTCTTTGTCAAGGTTTTTACTTCCAGTGTGGTTTTTGGGGGTAGAGAGAATAGGAGAGAGAGAGGACAAAGCGGTTATGGAGGTGAAGATATAAGTAGAAGACGACGCGGTCACGCGGCTAGGTGACAGGTCACCACGCGGAAGTCCTAAGGAGAGAATAAAGTGAAATAAAATAGGACCCTTTTCCTTTAAGAACTCTACCACTTTATTTTGTCCAAATAACGGAACTGCCCATGCTTCCTACCAGATGTTTCCTATCCTTAAATGGTAAGATTGACAAAAAAAAAATCTTCTCTCTTTTTCAACCCACCTAATAAATATAAACAAATTTAAATATTTTTTTATTTAAAATGTGAATTATATGTGTAATTAATAATTAATTTATTATATAAATCATTAAATACCTAATTTATTATTTATTTAAGTATCTCTCCGACCATTTTAGATATTTTTATATTTAATAAAATTAAAAAATCATTAATTTTTTATATTTTAAATAGATTGATTAGTACTTATAATATTACATACTACAAAATAAAATTTAGCATATATTTAATAAGGAAATTCAATTTTATAATTAAATATATTTAATAATTTAACATGTATAGGACCTTACTTCTTCATATAGATATAAAAATTTGTATGTCACTGTACTGCTAATAAATAAATTTAAAAGAATTTAAAAATCCTTATAAAAGAGTTCAAAATAAGTTGCAAGTTAAATATGAGTAAAAAATAAAAATTTGATGAAAATATATTGATATGTATAATTGAATTTATTATAATAATTAAAGATAAAATAGAAAATAAAATAATTTAACATGTGTAGGACTTTTACTTCATCATATAGATATAAAAATTCTCAAATGATAATATTTATAAGTAATATAGATATAGATATATATGTTTTAATTAAATTATAAGTAATGATCAATAAATGCAAGTAAATTTTATCCTTACATTATACAAATTCTTTCAAGAATCTAATATATTTTATATATTTAAATTCTAACAAGAATTAAAAAAAAATTATGCATAACATAATAATATATGCATAATTTTACATATGAGATTTTGAGTCTATTGTGTCTACCATTTTATCACTAAAGGATGAGTCTTGAAAGTATCGGTGATATTCCCTTTAACGGGAGTTACTACAAAGTATTTTTTTGACATAAAATAAATAGTAGATTTATTTATGTCTTTTGTTGTATCTTTTTCACAGTTCAGTAAAATAATTTGATAAATCAATAATTTTTTTTCCATTGTATGCACAATATTTTCTTGTTTTATTGCTTCTACATTCAACAAACTAAAATTCTTTGTTAAAAATGATATAAGGAATATATCATGGAAAAGTTAGTTTTTAATATGAGTAATGCTACATGTACTTAAAAATTAAACTTAAAAACTAGATTTAATAATTACAATTATTGAATAAGTAGTGAGTTCCAATAAATGTTGAGTTATGACAGTTGTGCCCGTCTTGACAAGCCGTTCATTCAGTCGGATTCATGCGGTGCCAACGTCAAGGAGGAATGCACCAACGGACCTTTAGTCCAATGATATTTTTTTATCTTGTGAAGACTTTGTTTTCTTCATGTCAAGGGTTCAGGTCCCCTTTATCCTCTTCCTCCCAAAACAAATAAAATAAAAAATAAAATAAAATAAATTCTAAGACTCATAGTAAAATCAATGACTGTAATTATCAAGTTTAATTTTTAAATTTAATTTTTAAATTCAGGTAGCGTTGCTCTTTTGATATTGAATTCTTGCCAAGGTTCAAAAAAAAAAAATTATTGAATTATTACCCACAATTTTGACATAAAGATGCTTAGAGCAATCCTTGTGTTTTCATAATTACATTTTAACCCTACATTTATAGTTTGATTCCTCAAATTTAGGTTATTAGGTTACTTTTAAAAAGGTGACTTAATGCAGAACGCCAATTACGTCGGTGTAGAGAAGATCAGATATACACAAGTAGATAGATACCGTCACCAACTCGAACTTTTCAACTTAAAATCACAATAATATAATCTTTTATTATTATTATTTTTTACTTTAATCACGTATAACTTCCTTTTTATCAAATTCAACTACCTACAATTTTCTCTCTATTACATTTAATCAATTAAATTTATTTATTTTAATCTCTTTTTATTTTCTGTTTTTTAACTTGTACGTGAATGCCGTCGTGTGTTAATTCCAACACAGAATAAACTACAAGCATAAAGGTTAAGACTAATATAACCTTGTTCAAACGAAAAAGACTGATTTAGCCTCTCTAGTTTCATAGAATTACACTGATTTAATCATGTTCCCGATAGTCACTCGTGATGCCTCGCTCTCCTTTTAATGCCCCTTTTGACTGTTCTACAAAGTGGTCCCGTGATTCAGATCAGACCGTTAGACCACGTTAATAACAATACCATTTTTTCGGTTACCAATGATTAACGCTTCTATCTAGCAATCCCCCAATAATTTCTTGTCGCGTGGGGCCCAAATTCAATCAATGACCACACACCCCCTGCTTAAATCTTAAAACCATCACCACCAAAAAAAAAAATTTAAAATTAAAACCATATAATTTAATATTCTCTTTTGTACTTAATTTGACACTATGCTATTTCGACAATAAATATTACCAGTATTTGTTGACTTTTAATATCACCATCATTGATTTAACTATAGGTTGCAACAATTATTGGAATTCATTACCTATACAATGGTTGTGATGGAAGGAGATAACAAAATGTATAAATATTTTTTGTCCAAATAAAAATTCTTTAAGTTGATAGTGTCAAATAATGTTGAGACAATTACTCATTCAATAATTATTGTAAATTAGGTTACCACATTAAATTCTCAAATTAAGTCATAATAATATCGCTCCTTGTAAACACATATCTTTTTTTGGAATGTCCAGATCTATAGATAATTATATTGATTTAAATTTACGATAAAATCATGAATTAAAGGGTGAAGATTCAATCATTTAAAAAAAAATTCTATAATTTATGATGACTTAGAGAGAAAAGAGAAAACAATCTTTTATGTTATGAATTGGTAGATCCCACCACTTAAAATGGGCTTACAACATAATTGTGTTAAAATATATATATAAACATGACTAAATCTTATATATAATAAAGTAATTTATAATTTAAATATCAAAAAATAAACAAAATGATTTTTATTATTCGCGATTGAGATCGTTTTAAATTTTACTTTAAAATTAATTTAACGGCTAATATTAACACTTTAAATTTAATAGAAAAAATAAGTATCTAAAGGTGTGTTTGAAGTAACTTTTTTAAAAGTATTTCTAAAAATTATTTTTCATAAATATTTTTTTAAAAAATAGTGTTTGAAACCACCTCATCATTACTACCTCTACCATCACCATCACCACCACCACCACTATCTTTCTCACCGTTGCCACCACCACCACCACTCATTGACACCACCACCATTGTTGCTGTCATCACCATTACCACCATCGTCGCTGTCGTCGCCACCACCATCATTATTGCCGCCCTCGTCGTCGCCACTACCGCCGCCATAGTCATTGTCACCCACCACAACCATCATTGTCTCTTACCACCACCACTACTGCCCACTACCTCTCACCCTCGTTACAAATCAATGTTTAAATTTCTTTATTTTTTTCTATGTTTGTGATTTAATTTTAGATATGAATACAAATATATTTATTATTTATTATTTTTTATTACTATGTGCCTTTAGACACAGACAAAAACTAGTTCATATATAATTAGTGTGATATCATAATATTTTACGAGGTTTCCATAGTTAAAGTGTATATTGTATCTGATCTCCTATAATAATTGTTTATAGACTCATTGCTAGAACTTATCTATAAAAATTGATTTTAAAATAAAAGGTATTAAAGAGTTCATATGTACGCAAGTAAACTCAAAATTAGACGAGTCTATTTATTAAGTTATCGATGAATCATACACCTCCTCATGAAACATTTTGATCATGTAAAATTTATATAATAAAGTATAATATAATTCAAATTTCAAAAGATAAAAAAAAATGACTTTTGATTTTCGCAGTTGAGATCTTTTTAAATTTTACTTTAAAGTTAATCCGACGACTAATATTAACACGTTAAATTTAATAAAAAAAAATAGAATTCTAAGGATATGGTTGAGGTAACCTTTTAAAGTTCTTCTAAAACTTATAATTTCTTATAAATACTTAAAAAAAAATTTTTTTTTTAAAAAAAATTAATGCTTGGAATTACCCCACTACCATCACCATCATTACTATCACCACCACCATCATTTCTGTTGTCGCTACCACACCACCATCACTATCGCCACACCACCACCATTAACACACCCAACACCCCACCACCACCATCGTTGCTATCTCACCACCACCTTTCCGTAAGAACCACCACCACTGGCCCACCACCACCACTGTCTTCGCGACCACCATTGTCGATACCCAACCATTATCCCACCAATACCATCGCCACTGTCCTGTCCTTACCATCACCACTCCCACTGCCACACCACCACGACCATCACCATTGTCACCCACGGCTAGCATCATCACAGTCGATTGTCGTCACTTACCACAACCATCACCGTCTTTCACTACCACCACTATCCCCAACTACCACTACTACCACTCGCCCTCACTACATTTGGTGCTTAAATTCTTTTTTTCTTTCCTCTATT